TACAAAAGAGCAGCACAAAACCTTGCTCTATATTTTGCCAAATCTCTGTTTGAAATTTTATCGACCGTTTTTCGACAAGCTGTAATGAATTCCATCATAAAATCCCGCAATTAACGTTCTGATTTAGGGAAAATATACAATATTGAAAATGACTGTTGAAGCAAAAAAATGAACAATTAAATTAGAAATGCATGAAACATTACGGTCCTTGTTGTGGCACGGCAACTGACACAAAGACCATGATGCTCCAATTTCCCATCCCCAATTAACATCTCAATGAACTCATAAACCTTATTATAAATTTCACAGCATCGAGCGGTTATAAATGGGGAGTTGATTGAGGAGTAGTGATAATTTTGTCTCTCTCTCACAACTTTACCAGGCTGCCAATGTCCGGAGCTAGCAACGATCAGAATCTTTCACAGTCAAGAACTTCTGCTGAGCAAACATTTCCTTCATCGTTTTGCCACCATTTCAAGATTCCTTCTAGAAATGCCTTGTACAAGAGCAATAATGTCAAACATTGTGGATAACATAATATAATATCCACAATTAGTGAAAAAAACAAGATAAACTTACTGCAAGCAGTCTTGTGACATGATCTTTACGATTCAAACTATCACTTGTTCAATCTTGCTTACAAGCCGAATAACAAATGCCATCGATCACCTACAAAAATTACCATGAATTGAAAATAGTTAATATAAATTATTATAACAACATCAAAACAATCAATAACACAAGTGTTATAGAACCTACATCGTCACTGAGTTCACCTCCGTTAATAGTATATAAGCATCTAAAGCGAGATACGCTTGCTTCGGCACACTTCCAAAGTAAGTATCACTAGATGCAAGTACATTGGAGAAAATTGCCTACTAATTAAGTAAATTCAAAGATTATTATTAGAATAAGTCAGTAACAGTACCTGTTCATCTCGATTGTAGAAAGTCTTCATTAATTGTTCTCATAATCAAACGCAGCGCCTTACCTGATAGCTCTAGAGTAGGTATGAAAGCTCCTTCATTTGTTGCTACTTTTTTTTTCCCATCAGGACATATCCAATATCTGGATGACACGTCTCTTCTTGTGCCTTCCTTTGGTGGTATCTAGAGGCCATATAAAGTAAAGTAACAGAGGCGGCCATCCTTTCCTCTCCCTCTTTCCGACAGCCCGTTGATAGATGGCCGTTTCTCTGTTATTCTCATTAACCACCCCATCCTTTTTGAGAACATCTCTAAATAGAGTCGAAAGCACTATAATTAACAAGCGAGTTTACCAAAAGTTATATGAAAAATATAAAACATTAAAAACTGGCCCAGAACAAATTTTAAAAACTACACTACCGAGCATTTCTAAAATTCTCATGTCTCTTGGGGGCCATCACAAAGTCATCACAAATATCGGGCCTTCCGCAGGTTCCTTTCCAAATTCTCATATTCTTAGCCCTTCCATATCCTCTTGATTTTTTTTCTTCAGGTTACATTTTCCGGGTCATCCTCTTACTCTCCTTGGTTTCTTTTGCCATCTAGGCCCGACGCTTACTTCTAATTCTCAGTAATTGTAGTGAGCTCATTCAACTCGTACGTCTTCTCCGCCCAATTGAAGAATAATTCAGCCCCCTTCCTTGATTCCTATTTGACCAAAAAAAGCATAGTATTTAGTACGTATCTATAGTTGCAAACATAGATACTAAACAAAAGCGGACATAAAATAATAACTATTAGAGCAACGTATGTACAAATCTATTGGCGGATGCCGTAGTGAATAAGAGGAGTCATTCTCTGCGCCATCTATCCGTAACCCAACTCGGCTCTATATAATTTGTTCATAGTAGTCCTCCTCCACTTTCCAGTACTCTTCGACGACCAAAACGGCGCGGTAACTTTCAATATCGAAGTGGTACTCTAACTTAGCCCTAACTTTTTCATAAACCAAACTACAAAAAAGAAACTACACATTAGCATGTCGCATAACAATAATCTTATCAAAATGAAAAGATATACAAATAATTATTCAGTAACTCACCAGTAAACGGAAGGAAAGAACCACTCCATGTACCCGGCATTGAACGCGCTGACCTAACTTCCCGCAGACTAAGAGACTGTCTTGATTTACTCATCTCTTGGCAAGAAGAGTGAACACCGCATCGGCAGCCAATTATATTTATGCCAAGAGTTGATAACTGCTACCGCATATCTAAACCCCACAAGGGAACATTCTACATGTCGCGGCGCATAATATAAGCCGATAATGAAAGCCACAATAAGTTTCACACATATTATAGGTCTTCATTTAATCAATATATCTACAATCATCTCGGCCATTCTATGCGCGCTTCCCCGAAATCACCGCCTCTTTTCCTCATCGGCTTTCTTATATTCTTTACAAAATAGGTGTAGATTGTATTAGCGCTGCCCACTCATTTTTCGAATTCCCTCCTTTGCAATCCGGTAATTCCGGGAAATCATACTATACCGAACACACAATTTTATTCCCAATAATGAATGAGCATTTATCAGGATTAAATTTTGAATCAAGCAATCAATTGCTATTTCTCATTGCTCAAGGATGTGGGTATATGAGAAAGCTGTGAAAAGGTGTCGTCTGTTAGGGCTTTTAGGTGTCTTTCATCTAATTTATTCGCTAATCAATTAAATCTCGAAAATAACACAAATTGGCCGGAATTCTCAACGTGTGTTATCTTAAGCCCTACAAGAAAATTATAGTTCAGAAAAAGTTAAAAATTAAAATATTTGGGCAAATTAAGACGCATATTAACAAGGTTTATTAACACA